CTTGAGTTAGTGGCTATATGACGAAGACAGGACCAGAATTCCCTGTTTCTTGTTTTGATGCCTTAACCACTATACAAAACTGGGTCTCAGATACTACTTCTACTATTATTATGGCATTTAATTAATTATTTCTTAATCATTCATATTCAGATGACATATTTATGTGGCTATTGATCAATGTATATTTTGGGAACAATTTACCAAACCAAGATTAAAAGCAATACAAAGACAGCGTGTATTTTATGATGGGGATTCATCTAACAAGGCATTCCCTCAACTTGGTGTTAATGCACTGGGAGTAAGACCCCCAAAGCGTCCAAAGGATATCAGGTTATGAAGACTGATCTAATGCAATGCAATGTAATTATACAAATTTTGTAAGAACAACTTTCCCAAGTTTTTGCCATACTAGTGTTGTGCTGACTGAAAAGCCTGTTAGGAATAGGGGTACTTCATACTACTTTGTTGTATTACATTTTTCTAAGCAATTAATAAAAATGTGTCACCAACCCTGCCTCAAAATATATACTCTGGGCATATGTGAGCTTGTTGTTACTATCAGCCATGTCTGGAATTGTATTCTGTATAGATTGTTTGGCAAGAAGATTTCATTGCTGTGTTAAAGATTATAATCTGTAAGTGGTTAATGTGTTCTCCAAAAAGGGCCCTGACTAACAAAAGACATATGCTCTTTTCTTTATTCTTCTAAGCTCTTGGGGTAGCAATATACCCAGAGCTTCTATTCTATCATCAAAATGATTTACTTAGATCAGCAAAAGTGAATGGTGCTGAGAATACCAAGTCATTAATAAATTCTTTGAAAGCTTTGCATTTTTCACTTAAAAGTCTTTTGACGTCTCATAAAAGCCATGCAGAAATTTTTCTTCTTTTACATGAAACTGCTGATTTGGCATCTCCAATTTAATAGCTTTTCAATATGCATTCCCTCGAAACAATGAAAAATGTAGCCCTGTGCTATTTATTCAAAATGGGTCAGAGGTTGTGGTTGTGTGAAAACTTTTACATATAAAGCAGGAGATCAGACCACATAAATCAGCGTTTTAGCATTCTGCAAAATCAAACATATTTGTATCTTGTCTTAACATGTCACCCGTATGCTTATGCATACATCCAAAAAGACATACATCTAAAGTGTTCCTATAGATAGGGCTCTTACAGTTATGATGACCTCTTCAACTAATAAAAGGAATATAAAAATTATCATTTCTTTTTGAATACCATTTCTGGAAGTTAACAAATCTTTGACTTACCACTTGGTAAAAAAAAAAAAAGTTTTGTATAACGTAATAGCATTCATTGTAAACTGCAGCATTGATTGAAACCAGATCATAGAAAATAAGATATAGCCTTCTTGAAGATTAATAACATAATTTAAGCATTATTTCTAGTGAATGCATACCTACAATTAATGACAATTAATAACCATAAGAATGGACAAGCATTGTTTGTTACAGGTCTCTAATGATTCATCATTTACTCTAATTATATTTTATCACTTCTCAAGGGAATGAAGACAGACGGAAAATTAAATTGGGAATTCTGAAGGTATACCATCTTCCAGTTTGCAGTGCCTGTGTTTCAACATGGTATTTTTTCTAGTATACACCCAGTTAGTGGTGCTGACTTTTTATCACATCATCTGTAAGATTAGGAAGCAAACACTTTACTTTCACATTTTTCACATTTTATTGAGATTTATAGGCCGCCCTTCTCCCTGAGGGGACTCAGGGCGGCTTACAATCACAAGGGGAGGGGGTGCAACCAAGAGACAAACAATAGTGAACAAAATAAAATGGTAAACCACAACATGCATTCAACAGTCAGCACTCGGGCGACTTGGGATTTATTCAGCAAGGCTGAAAGAGGTAAACTAGTTACAGCTGAAGAAAGCAACTTTTTTTTCTTTTAGAGAACTAAAGCTTCCCTCATACAGAACTCAGCTCCCGATGACACATGGAAATAGACACATTCATGTTACTTTTATTGCAAAAAAATCGGAAGGCATTTAACACTGTTCCCCTGAATTGTTGCTGTTTACTTCCCAGTCTGCATTAAGAGTCCTGTGATTATTTGGTGGTCTGCACTCTAACAAGCCCAACTCAATTTTTCCATGCTCAGCTAAGATTGGCTGGCATCAAAATTACATTCCCTGCATTGATTTCCTTTCATTTGGGGATTGTATTAATTGATAACAATTCCTTATTAAAAATCTAGATATCATAGATATCAATGACAAATGTCTTCTCCTTGCTAATATGCTAATATTAAAACACGAGGAGTTAAGGTGTAGAAGTATACAATTCCTACCTGAATTTGGAATCACTAATCTCTCTTCAAGTCTCTCAGCATTGCTGTTGTGACTAAGGGTATGCCCACATTTTTATTTAAAGGCTACCATACTGATTTCTTTCTATAACAGCATTCCTGCTTCTTTGGCTCTGTGTGTTTCTGATCATTTCGTATTCAAGTTACTCAGGATTGGGAGATTTCCTATGTCTAATGCTGTAAATATAGACTCATACTATAGCCTCTTTATTACACAGTCAATGACACTGCCAAGAAAAGAATAGTAGCGATAAATAGATTTCAGCCTGATCATACACATCACACATATTCCACAAACAAGAGAATTGATGCCCAGAAGGTGCTGAGAGCTGGCTTTCCCCCTCTCCTCGTAAGGTTCAGGCTTTTTAGTAGTAACATAACAAACCATTCATGATCTTGGATTTCAAACACTGCTTCAGAGTCGTGTATCTCTAATGGGTTTCCCTTGCTCACTCTATTTTGGATATTGGCACAATATGTGGGAATTTCTCAGATAATTCCAAAAAGTAAGACACAACTGAGAAGTGCATAAAAAGCAGCAGAGATTTAATATCAAGGCGACTTTCCAACCAGCTTGGCTTATCCTGGGGGCCTGGTGGAATGAGTCTTCTGCTAGCTGCCAACGCAGGAAAGCCCTGCATGGATTGAGACCAAAACCTAGTACTTCTGGATTCTAGTCCTTCAGAGAAAAGCATCAGACTTCATGAAAATTGAAAAGAATATTAGATATGTCTGCTGCCTTGAATTGTTTATAAAAATAATAAAGGCGGGAAATAAATAAATAAATAATCCATACTTTTAAGTTTGAAATTAAGTAACAAAACAACATTCATCAGTAAGGCATAGCTTCTGTTAGATACATTACAACCAACAATTGTTGTCAGGAGCAAATAACTAGGAGCATTCATTTATTTAAAGTAAGAAGAGTTTATTATTGCTACCTATACACAAGAATGATTCACCGACAAAAGGGTGAACGACAAAACCGCGCCCGATTAAACCGCGGTGACAAAACCGCGTGTTCTAAAGCGCTCCGACGAATGAGCACTGAATCGCGCCAACAACAGCGCAGTGACAGAAGCGCGCTGTAAAACTAAACTTAACCCTAAATCTAAACCTAACCCTAAACGTAACGCTAAACCTAACCCTAAACCTAACCCTAAACGTAACGCTAAACCTAACCCTTACCTTAACTTAAATCGCCCCTCTGTCGACTGAAATCACCCTTCTGTCTCCGCACTGTTGTCGCTGCGCTGTTGTCAGTGCGTTGATGATGTTGCGGTTTTAGCGACACAGTTTAGTCAGGCGCGGTTTTGTCGTTCTCCCTTTTGTTGGGTCACACACAAGAATCTAGTCAACTAATGATCAAAGCTAAATTGGCACTGGATAAAAGCCAATGGAATTCATGGGGGGAGCTGGGTCTCTTGTGGCAGCACAATGACTCCAAACTGATGACTTATTTAATTCCGCCTTCCAGCTCAGCCACTCTTCTACAATTATAATTTGATGCTTAAAATGTTTTGATTTATTTGAAATGACTTCTGAAATAATAACAATATTAAGACACGGCAGTGCTTCAATTATATGATGTAAAATGTTGGCAATAATAAACATTTTTACAAGTGAGCAAGTGTAAATTTAAAGATTAGAATTTGTAAGTAGGCAGAGGATCACTTTAAGGTATTCTTATTTACAAATCACGGCAAGACAAATTTAAACAAATGAAATCTATTCAAGTGCCAAAAGCATTTCCCTTTCAAATAGTGGCATCTGTGGGGTCCTTAGTACTTTCTGAACTTGGTTGCTTTTCCTGCAGACATTTCATTACCCTTCAGTTAATGATGATGATGTTACCTACTTGGTAATGAACAAACTCATAGACAAATGTTCAACTCTGAGCCTCAAATATTTTGTTGATAGGGGCATCTAAAATCTCCTGCCCAGCACAAAACACTATGAGCTCATAGAAAAAGTCCTGTTCCTATGAAAATCATTCCTTTGTCTGAAGTAACTGAAGAGAAAGTTATCATCACATATTAATCCAGTTTTCTTTTCTATACCAAGACAAAGGGTACAATAGAAGAAAATGAAACATGTACAGGATTGGCAGCCAAATAGCAAACAACATGGAGTTAACAGATTTATTAAAAGCCACTAATATTAGTTTGAACTGTAATTGATAAAGCTCTTCCTATTTAGGTTACTAATATGAACATGGTTATGACCTAGTCTAGACCATTGAAAAACATGGATAGATTGACCCAAGCAGAATCTTTATCTCTGATCAGATGTAGATATGATTCTTCGGATTGCTCAATAATAAGTATAGATATGCTTTGATTTTGATTAAAAGTTGGTATTTTAATATTATTATAACCTACTTAATTCTCTTTCCCATATTTATAGGAAAGAAGTCTCCTGCTAGCCATTACAAAGGAAAACAGCTGAGCAAAAGTCTGGAGATAAATAGTGTGAATTATTTTTGTATGAAGTCTACTGCACCCAAGGCAGTAACATTAGGCCTATGGCTGCATGCATGTAAGTATAAAATATGTTGCCTTAAAGATACAGTGTGAGCACAAAATCAAGTAAAATAATATTACAGCTCCATGAAATGAAAATTCCAATCTCCAACAGGAATTTAGAAATCTTACCTGCAGATCAAAGAACTTGCTGTAGCGTCGATAAATTGCCTCTGTTGAGCCATTGGACCAAGTGACCTTGATAATGTACACCTGCAGGAAAGAAGACATATGATTTAAAAATATCAGGTCCAATTGGACAAGTAGATAATTGTGCCACTAAATGTTCAGTAAAGAGCTATTTTAGAATAAATGACTTAGTCCATAGAAGATACCACAAATTGGGCAGCAATTTGCATGGGTTATTTGTGCAAAAATGCCCTACGTAGAACCAACTCTGGCATCGACAGAGAAACTGAAAGATATCCGAGTTGAACACAGAGAACATATAAAATTCAGAGCACATTTCTTGGTCAAATGAATTACTCTAGTTTAGCAGATACTTCTTTTAGAACAGGCAGGAGGATGACATTTTCCTTTTCAGACAGAAAATCCTTTTTCAGAATTTCAGGATGTACCCACAGTGACTATATGTCACTTCTAAGCATCTAAGTAAGATTTATCACCACAATCTCAGATTGGAGCTGGGACTTCAGTAGCACATCTCACTTTTCTTTATTGGGAAGATAAGGATATTGGGGAAGAAGATCTGAAAGACTGGATTTATTTGCTGCCTATTTTTCTTGCCTTTTGTCATTTATTTCTAGTATTAACAGTGGTCCTTCTCATACTTTCATGGTCAGAACCAAAGATGATTTCTGAGAGGGGACAGCATGTTTTACTTCTGGTTGCATGATAATGCAGCAGATCTATAGAGAGCAACACATTTTAATCACAATGTATTAAAGGGTTGCTAGTGGGTACTAGGTACATAGTTTATCATTCTGATGGCGAGAGATAATTATTCTGTCTCTGCTCAAAATCTCCTTTTATTTGAAAACCATAAAGTTGGGGAGAATGTTAGCTGAAGTTTGACTTTTTCTTCTAGCTTAGTAAAAAAAACCTCTGCAATGAAAACACTGTTTGACAAAGAACTTTCTATGAAATTATTTAATATAAGATGAAGCATGACTAGTGTTTTGCTATCCTTTGTAGTACTGCAGTATTTGTATTCTTGAGTCACATCCAAGTCCTGAGGACATACAGTTAAACCTCACAACAGCAACTTTTGTCTTCTCATAATCCTAAGAGTGTGAGTGCTATAGAGACTCTGAATGATTCAATTGTCTCCACAGCAGAGAAAAAGAACAGAAGCAGTATCAGAAACATGTTCCTTGGGGAAAATTCCCTAAGCTAGTTCCTACCCACTTGCAGACTCTACTATCTAGGGTAACTAGGGAGTATTTAGAGATCAAAGACTTTTAGACTTGGCAATGCTTACCAACACTTGCTTGCTGTTGCTACCCCACTATTGTTCTGACTGCCAACAATGCAGCAATTCGATTCTCACCAGCTCAACCTCCTTTTGAGGTTGGTAAAATGAGGACCCAGATTGTTGGGGACAATAGGCTGACTCTGTAAACTGCTTAGAGAGGGCTGTAAAGCACTGTGATGTGGTATATGTCTAAGTGCTATTGCTATATCTATCGCTATATCTGTGTGTCTGTGTGTCTACCTTTCACACTTCTGAACTGCCCATCTCCCTCAAAGAGTAGGCTGATTTCTAGCACAATACTCTATTCCTGCATAACCCCAAATTCACATTGTCACTGAGGAGAAATAAAATTGACCAATAATATCAAGCATCACACATTATAGAGCTGTGATGATGAACCTGTGGCACGCGGAGCCATAGCTCATTTTAGGCCTTCCAGAGGGCCTTTCCTGAAGCCTGGGGAAGGCAAAAAACAGCCCAACAGGCAAACTGGAAGTTTGGAAACAAACTTCCAGTTCGCCCATTGGGCCTGTTTTGCTTCCTCTCTGGGCTCCGGAGGCTTTCCTGAAGCCTAGGGAGGGTGAAAACGGCCTCACCTGGACCCCTGGAGGGGGTAGGGTGTGCATATGTGAAGAGTTCACTCGCACATGCACAGGTGGGGGATTGCTTGTGTGCATGCACATAGTTTTGGCACACCTTTAGAAAAAGGTTAGCCATCACTGTTATAGAGGAAAGAACCTTAAGAGCACAAATAAAAATAGAAATAGCACTTATAGCAATAGTTAGGCTTATATACCGCTTCATAGGGCTTTCAGCCCTCTCTAAGTGGTTTACAGAGTCAGCATATTGCCCCCAACAACAATCTGGGTCCTCATTTTACCCACCTCGGAAGGATGGAAGGCTGAGTCAACCTTGAGCCTGGTGGGATTTGAACAGCCAAACTGCTGAACTGCAGTCAGCTGAAGTAGCCTGCAGTGCTGCATTTAACCACTGCGCCACCTCGGCTCTTAGACTTATATACCACTTCATAGTGCTTTATAGTCCTCTCTAAGGGGTTTACAAAGTCAGCATATTTCGCCAACAATCTGGATCCTCATTTTACTGACCTTGCAGGGGTGGAAGGCTGAGTCAACCTTGAGCCAGTGAGGATCAAACTCCTGGCAATGAGCAGAATTAGTCTGCAATACTGCATTCTAACCACTATGCCACCATGACTCCTAATATCCTACAAATATAAAGATAGGCTATATCTTATTTAAATATATAAGCAGAGAAGACATCTTAGAGAGACCATTCATATATAATTAGGTCTTTAACCCAAATAAGGCTCCCTAGAAATTTTGTTCTCTTCCTCAGCCTGTTCTAAATTAGATAATTTAGACAAGATATATCCTATCTTCATATTGATACAATATTAGGTTTAATACTCCCAAAAACAATTCATCTTGTATCAGAGATAGGCAACTGAGAGCTCCAGATGTAGCAGACTACAACAGTGACAATTACTTGCCGTTATCTATGATGGTGGAGCTGATAGGGCACTGTTTACCTTCTTCTATAATCAGGGGTGGGTTCCTGCCAGTTCTAACCTCTTCTATAGAAGAGGTTCCACAAATCTACAGTGCCGTTTAGAACCGAACTCCCTCCCCCCGCCCGTCCGCACATCATCAAGATGAAGAGCAAGAGGAGGAATTCTGGGAGTTGAAATCCACAAGTCTTAAAGCTGTCAAGTTTGAACACCCCTGGGGTTTTTTTTCTAAAGGGTTAGGGTGCAAGGGTATTGTAACTTGACAGCTTTAAGACTTGCACACTTCAATGCCAGTTTCTGAGCCAACATTGGTTGCTAAGCAAGAGTGTTGTTAAGTGAGTGTCACCACATTCTACAAGTTGGCCACGCCCACTCTGTCACATGACTGCCAAGCCACTCCCACTCAGTCACATGACTGCCAAGCCACTCCCACTCTGTCACATGGCTGGCAAGCCACTCCCACAAAGCAGGCCACAACTACAGAAGAGGTTCTAAAAAAATTTGAAACCCACTACTGCCTATAATACACTCAACTGAAAGGGAGCCACTTCTGCAAGTCACAAATTTACATTCCAACACAGTTAGGTTCCTAGCTACCAGGAAAACACACCCTAAATTAGACATCCTCAATTGTGATTTAAAATCAAATGGAATTAAATTTCTAATAATCTCCAGCTATGTTTCGTGCCTCAGAATTGTTGATGGGACAGTCCCAGTCATTGGATTGTAAAAAGCAGCCCTAGTGGACAGCATTTAAAAGATCAACATTAAATTCACCTCAGCCACAGAATCTGAGTAGAAGATTGAACTGCTGGTTTATTACAGAGGAGTAAGAGGCAACTGAGCCCCATGTGTGAGAGAAAGAGGGTGAAGACAGTCCCTTCCTAATAGCTTACAGAAAATACTGTAGATGCGGACAGTAGAATCCTCAGTCAGGCAAGATTTCCTCTATAGGTGTGAAACAATAAGGAACTCAGCTTAGAAGAACTGCCACGTTTCATTCTTGGTTTAGGGCCACATACATTGTTTTGAATTAGTACACTTAGAATGTAATGTTTTGTCTTGCAGAGACACAAATAAACATGCTATCCATCCTTTGCTACATATTTTTCACATTTCTCCCCTAAGGGAAGGGAACATTCCCACAAGGAAATACATTTTCCAGTGCTCCCTTTCCAGTAAATTCCTTGGTCTTGGAGGAGCTCCCTGAAACTTTACGTCCCCCCCAAAACCCATAAGAAAACGAAAGAAATATAGGTTTCCAAGGTTTTTTCTACAGTCACGGAGTGGTAGATTCAAATCAGAGTGACCTTTCCAAATTATAATGGAAAAGGTTTTATCTTGCCTTGTGAGCCAGGAGAACAATCATCTTCCACTGATGGTGACTCCTGATGCTGTGTTCTTAACGGAAGGAATAATTTCATTCAGAGCCTCTTTGAAAATATTCTATGTGAACTGTATGTGTAACTGTATCAATCAAGGAAATGTGATGATGTCTTTATTAAGTGACAGATGAGTCCTAGGCACTCCAACTCCTAACCATGCCAGGGCACTGTAAAGAGCTTTCACTAAAAGTGTTTGCTACCTCATGTTTGCCTTAATTTACTTTTTGTATGAATGTAGCTCAGTGGCTAAGATGCTGAGTTTGTCAATCAGAAAGGTCAGCAGTTCGGCAGTTCGAATACCTAGCGCCACATAACAGAGTGAGCTCCCGTTACTTGTCCCAGCTTTTGCAAACCTAGCAGTTCGAAATCATGTAAAATGCAAGTGGAAAAATAGGGACCACCTTTGGTGGGAAGGTAACAGTGTTCAGTGCGCCTTCAGTGTTTAGTTATACTGGCCACAAAGAGAACTTTTGACAGCACTGGCTCTTTGGCTTTGAAATGGAGATGAGCACCGCCCCCTAGAGTCAGGAACTAGCACATATGTGCGAGGGGAACCTTTACCTTTTAGAAAACGTTTACAGAAGCACCGACATCTCTTTAAACCAGGAGCGGGGAATTAAGGCCCTTTTATGACTTGTGAACTACAATTATCAGAATTCCTGAGTCAGCCATGTTCATGAATTCTGGGAGTTGAAGTCCACAAGTCATAAAGGGGCCATAGTTTCCCTAGTTTAAATCCTAGACCATTTCTCCTTGGTTGGCTACACAGAATCGTGCACAAAATGTTTCTGGATTCTAATTGCTTTGAATTTGATTTCCTCTCCCCTTCTTGTGCATGATGGATTAAAGGAAAGGATTCCTTTAA